AACCATATCTTGCTCCAAGTTGATGTACTCTTGACCATCTTTCAAACCCGACATATTCTAGTGTTTAAGCACATTGAGGCAAAACACGTCTTAAACAATTTATATTCTTATTAAAATCCACTTCCCGATAAGCTTTTACAGCCTTCCAATATGTCCATTTGTGATTTTTTATACCAGTAGACCTTGATTTTAGATTTCTATACAAATAAACACCACAAAGTCCATGAAAAGCATATGGGAAACACCTTCTAACAGCGTTGTCAATTGAGTTTGCCCTATCGGATATGATTGTCAGATTTCTAATAGGACCTATGTAATCCCTAAGATGCCCCATAAACCATGTCCATGAATCAGAGGTTTCAGATTTTCCAACCTTGTAAGCTATTGACAGTATCCCATTGTTAGCATACATGACTACTGTTAATAAGTTTACTCTAAGGTATCGACCTTTCAAATGTGCTCCGTCAACTATAATAACTAGGCGCATGCAAGTAATAAATGAACGAATCTAAAAAATAATATACACAAGAAATATAATCATTTAAATGTGAAATGCATGTAACTAACAAAAATGAGTCAACAAAATTATATTGATTTACTAACCGCAACACCAATGGCGATAAACAGCAACTCAAAGCGTCCATCTCTATCTGTTTTGATATGAGTTACCGACCCAAGATTTTTCAGCTTTAAATTGTGACAATAAACCGGCAGTTGGGCAAACGATGCTTCTGGCGACCCCCTCAACAATTCCAAGGCATAACGTTTGGCTCTCTAAGCTTGAGAATATGCGATACTAATCTTGAACCGAGCATTCATGTCAGTCATAATTTCATGTCTCCAATATACCCTGCCATTCAAAAACATTAACTCAGCCGGAAAACCACCCAACGCCTTTTTGTTTGTCTGTCTATGGTGAGGAAAAACATGGGTTCTTGAACATGTATGTTTATCAATAAAAGTCCTAACTTGAAACATTTTGCAATCTTTTATCCTATTTGCAATCATACGCCACGTACAGGTTTTGTCAATCATACACTTTTCGAAACGATCTTTGCTTGATTTGTTAACTTTTAGTTGATAGCCATCTTCCACACATTTCGTATACAAAGCTATCTTTAAGTCTTCCTTTGTATCAAAACAATCATATTTCTTGATACGAATAACTTTTGTGTAACAATCAACTGCTATCTTTACCAACTCTTCTTCCGGTATCTGAAGTAATTCTGGCATATTACAGTTATACTCCTGTGGCATTTTCTTCTTTTTATTTTCTTCGAGGACTTCTTCTTCTTCTTTTTCTTCTTCAGGGTTATATGAATTACAGAATGGATGTTCAACATGTTCATTCACGGTCGTAACTTCCTCCTCATTATCATCAACAACATCTTCCTCGGTAGCGGCTGTTTCATCATCAAAATTCAGGTATTGACCAATATCAAAATCATTACACGCAGGGTCTGTTTCTTCTTCTGAAACATCATCAAAATCCGAGTATTGACCAAGATCAATGTCCGGGTATTAACCAAGATCAAATTTCGAATACTGACTAGTACTCACAATTTTTTTTGTTGGCTCATCATCGTCTAACTGGTCAATACGAAAATCGAAATTTGGTGCTGAAAGTTTATTAGGATTTAGATTAGGGAAAGGTTGTGGGTTTTGAGATTGTGTTTGATATTGTGTTTGATATTGGAAATGTGGTGAAACAAAATTTTCTTGGTGATGAAATTGTGGTGGAACCATTAAATTTTGAGGTTGATAAAAACGTTGTACATTGTGAGCACCATAAACTGGGGTTGAAGAACTTAGTTGATTACTACCCGCTACTGACCCAACTTCACTACTTCTAGGTTCAACAACATACAATGTAACATCATCTTCTTGCGAAACACTAATGTAAGCAATGAATCGTTCAACATCTTCATTGTCGGTTAACAACTAAACTTTACCTTTTCTCTGATAAGATAGCCTAAATCCACTTAGATGCTCTAAATTCAATTTCTTTGCAACACGTAACATTAGAGTTTCATAAGTTAACTTTTTTAATGATAGTTTTAGTTGAAGATTCATGGGTAAAGGCATATATTATAAAACACCATGAACATTCTCCCATGACCCTCCAAAACACAAATCTATCCAAAAATGATCAACATTAGATGATTTCATTCTACAAATTGTAAATTAATTTACTAAACAAACGAGCTATAAACTAGATATCATCACTAACTTAGAGAAAAACATACCTTTATTAAGTTGATGGTTGATAATTTGGGAGAGAAATCATTGAAAAATTATATAGAAATAAAATTATGTAAAAAAAATTAGAGATTGGGAAGAATGTCGTTGGATATAGGAACGAATGTCGCCGGAGAAAGTGATAGATGGAGATGGAATGAGTTGTGATTTAGGGATTTAGGTTATGAGTTGTTGCTGCTGCGTAGTTTATATACCCAAAATATTTGTGTTACGAAAATAAAAGTGTTGCGAAATTAAAATTCGTGTTGCGAATTCGAAAATCGAGTTGCGAAAACAAAATTCGTGTTGCGAAAAGGAAACTTGTGTTGCGAAAAATAAATTTGCGTTGCGAATTCAGAAATCGAGTTGCGAATTTGAAAATCGCGTTGCGATTGCAGAAACTGAGTTACGAATTTGGAAACTGTGTTACAAAATTGGAGTTCGCATTGCGAATTTGTTGGTCATTTTCGCAAATCCAAAAAAAATTCGTTAAAATCGTATATTATAAGGCATTTTCGGTCACTGAAGTTATTTTCTCAAGTTAAAAGTTATCTTTGAATAGATGTTGTCATATATTTATCCTAGATTAATAAGAAAATTACGTTAAAAGACCTTCCAAAGTTTCCGTTTTGCTTTCTAAAACTACAAAATTCTTAAATTTAAGTGATAATTGTGAACCGAAATTGATATGAATCTCACACACACTTAACAGTTTTTCTTTAATAACGTGGTCGACCTCAACCTAAAATGGAAATAAATGGGGCGACGAATGTGAGCGATCCCAACGCAGATGACAAGTCGGAGTTGGATTTTCCGGCGACGATGGTGGTGGTGGGAGGATTTGACCCATTGAAAGATTGGCAGAGAAGGTATTATGAATGGTTATTGAAATCGGGAAAAGAGACGAGCTTGATCGAGTATCCTAACATGATCCATGCGTTCTATGTTTTCCCACAATTCCCAGAGGCTTCTCATTTAGTCACCCAAATAAACAGGTTTATTGCAAAATGTTCATCAAGAGTTGCAGACGTCAAATCTGAAACCTCTGTGTCTCAGGTTGAAGATAAAGTTTCATCACCGCACATCAATTTAATCCGATTACCAATTTTATGTGGGAATTTTTCCTTTATGTATTACCTTCTTGTTTTGTGTATTTCCTTTTTTTAATTAGTTTTTTTATCAAATGTATTAAAGTGCAAGTGTATTATTTAGTCAAAACTTAATTAATTTCAGCTAGTGGGTTATAATTAATAAAGAAGTTTAGAAAAAATTAAAGTTTTGATTATCCATTCATTATAATTGAAAATCTAGTTTTCTGTAAGTTCGTTCATCTCTTTTCTTTTGTTTTTGTAGATCGATGACGGTATCATTTTAATGTTGGTTGTCGACTGCCGGTATTTTTTATTGTCTTTTTATTTTCTCTTGATTTTTATTTTCAATAAATTTACCTTTATGACACGTTTTTTATGTCTTTATGACACGTTTTCTTATGTATTTATGACACATTTTCTTCTGTCTTTTGTCATGTTTTTAGGATATTTGGTCGTTGTTTTCATTTATTTTTTCTAAAGGTCTATTAGACATCACCACGACTCATCAAGATGACACTTATTTGTTATATTGTCGATCTTCCCTACTTTTGACCCTCAAATTAGATTTGGATACTCATTATGCGTTTGTGAATAGCTTTTCATATCGCTCGAGTCTAATTTGTAATTTGTCGGTGCTCTTTCAATAACTTAATCCTCTTTTGTGGTTCGTTTACCGATGTGATCAGATCTGTTTGTATCTATCTTTGTTTGAATTTTCTTGGTTAGATTTTAATCTTTCCTTGTATTGTCCTTATGTGATATCAAGTTGCTAGTTTTATTTCAATGATTATAGGAAAATTGTCCTAACAATATGCTTAATTTAAGATTATGATTGTAACTTTATTATAATTTAGAATATTTTCCATTTTAAATAAAATTAATAATTTTTTTTTAAAAAAATTGAAAATTGTAAATAGTCTCAAGAAGAATATATAAAAATTATTTAATTTGAAAAAAATATATATATAGTTTAAATTTTAATAGATATTTTGAGCTTTATATTGTTGAACTATTTTTTATTGGGTAAAGTACACAATTAGTCCCTCAGTTATAGGATAATGCTTTATTGAGTTCCTCAACTATTAAAAATTACAAAATAATTTTTCGACTATAGGGTATTGCTTTGTTGAGTTCTTCGACTATTAAAAGTTACAAAATAGTCACTTGACTATTTTTTATATTCCAAACTTATCATTTTCCATTCAGCTCAAACTACAGTCTATTTTTTAACAGAGAATGACGAGTTTGAAACATATTAAATAGTCAGGTGATCATTTTGTAACTTTTCATAAATGAAAAACTTAACAAAACAACATTCTATAATCGAATGACCATTTTATAATTTTTAATAGTCGAATAACTCAATAAACATCACCCTATAGTCAAAGGACCATTTGTATACTTGATCCTTTTTTATTTTGGATGTACATTTTATATATGGTCGACATTTTAACAATTGTTTAAAAGCTTGAAACAGACAGGTATCAATAACAAGACCAAAATGCAAACCCCACTACATTTGCTCATCGCTGCTGACGGTAGGGTTCACAGATCACATTGCAGCTATGAAATACGGTTATCTTATTAAATGTTCCATCGAGGAATGGGAAAACCCCACTTCTTTTTTTTCTTCTTCAAATTTTTGATCCTCATGAGATTACGAGGCCATGTAAACAATGCAGATTTATACTAATAAAATACATCTGTGTCTGAGGGATTCAATTCATATATGTTCCATGCATTTGTCAACAGATCATATGCAAACCCATTAGATTTTATCCGGAAACTAAATTTGGAGCAGATTCTGTTCTGTCTAGTATTTTGAGGGAAGGACCATCTAGACACAGCCACCCCTGAGTGCAAGCACAAGATGCAGCACAGAGCCACCCTCAATATTGTAGTCGAGCGCTGTCTTATCGTCTGCAAGTTGCTTCCCAGCATATATAAGCCTGTTACAAGTGGCCAAAACATTTTGGTTTAAATTAAAAAGGCAAGATGGCTCAATGTCAAAACATGCATTAAATTGACAGAGTCAAGAACCAGAGCACTCGGTTATGAACTTAACCCAAGACCTTGGACAGTCAAACAAGTCATTTGGACCAGATACATGTACCTATGACCAAATCATGTTTTACCTCTTAATAATTATGGAATTTAAACTATGAGCTACCTTCCTGATTAATTTGGAACAAAATACCTAAATAAAGAATATACATAAATACAGAAAAGTAGTGAAATAAAGTATTTTGTTTGGAGATATATGGTCAAGTAGTAGTACCCCAAGAAATTATATATCCAATGGAAAAAAATACATTAAGAATTTCAAATCGCAACAACAATCCAAAAGCATGTCACTAATCAAATCAATTATAGAGATACATTCAGTAAAACAGAGAAGACCAAAATGGGCATACCTTTGCTGAACTGGAGGAATTCCTTCTTTCTCTTCAACCCGTTCCTTGATTCGATCAATGGTATCAGTTGGTTCGATGTCAATTTCAATTTCTTTCCCAGTGAGAGTCTTCACCTTGATCATGGTTCCTCCCCTAAGCCTCAAAACAAGGTGAAGAGTGGACTCCTTTTGGATGTCATAATCAGCTAGTGTTCGGCCATCTTCCAGTTGCTTACCAGCAAAAATCAACCTCTGCTGGTCAGGAGGGATGCCTTCTTTATCCTAGAAAATGTAATCCATGGTCATTAATCATGAAGAAAGCATTATGTTCAAACAACGTCCTCTTGGGCAAATAGATGAAATTAAAACAGCATTGACACACAGGATTTGGAATTTGCTTTATCATCAATTTAATATTTCTACTACAACAGATATCACCATTAGATTAGAATGTTTGAATAAGTTATCTGCACAAAAATACTGGATTCGGATATCAAATTCGGATATCAGACACTATTTGAACCAAAATCAAAGTGCCTTTGACTAATGGATATCGAACTATTCATATCTGAAATTGCTTCCAAACCGCTGATTGTAAATCTAATATCTGAATCCATAAAAAATGGACCGGACAGAGTCGAATCCAATTTTTTTACCATACATTGACATCCCAAAAGTAATTTCTATGCAAATATTCAGGGAAGTGCTAAGTACATATAAAAGTAGAAGGATTAGACAACCTTCTTTAAACCTAAGTTTGCAGTTCCGTAAGAGGAAAAAATAACTAAATATATATATGATAATAATAAAGGAATCATTCATTAAGATCAAATTTATCTCCTGTAAAACTAAGTTGGCAAAAACTCAACATATAGTGTAAGAAAACAATCGAAATCGAACATTAGATTATGTGTAACAGGATGGACTAAGAAAAACCTGAATTTTGGCCTTGACATTGTCGATCGTGTCGCTGCTCTCGACCTCGAGGGTGATAGTCTTCCCGGTTAGGGTTTTGACGAATATTTGCATCTTCTTATAGGTTTTCAGTTACTACAAAACATAAAAAGCGTCGTGATTCTCTAGTAAGATGACTTTTCGAAGACAAACGAGATTAAGAAGCAAATTTTGGCTGAAATTTTACCTGCTGATCCCCAAATCCGAACGAAGCGATGACTGAACAACTTTGTGATTGGACTGTGGAGACATCCCAGCTAGTTATGCTTCTTAGATCTCCGGTTTTGGACTCTTCTTTGGGCCTCCGCCCAATTCCTTTTGTTGAACCGAAAATAATGTAGCTTTGATTTTCTACTATACGGTAGACATGTACAAGTTCTTGAAGACGCTTTTCAATCCACTCAAGTTGCTGCGATCAAAGTATTAGGGACTAAAACTGTTATTAAATTTAAGAAACTGAATCAGTTTGTATAAAAATGTGTGTAAATTTTAGGGACTATAATTATTATTGTACCGTATCATATTATCATTTTGATTAAATCAGCATTTAAATTTAATGGTAGGATACCAAAATAGAAATAAAGTGTAATGCTAAATATGATTTTATAAAAAATAATAATTGAGTGACTAATAGTAAAACATAAAAATGTATGAGGTACCAAAATAAATATTTTACCCTATTTTTTTCGCTCTTCATAATTTAGGGTAAACTACACTTTTAATACCTAAATTATCAGTTTTATTTTGTTTTAGTATCTAAACATTCATTTATTTCAAAATCATACCTAATATTTACTTTTTGTTCTGTTTTGGTACCTCGTGAAAATTACAACCCACCCGCCATCGGAGCTCCGGGATGATTTGCGGTAGATTAAGCAAGCATAAAATTTTGTTTGTTCAAATTTGGGGGCCATATTCTCTCCGACAGCGAGTTGTGCATGCTAAGCACTGGATTTCCATAACCGATAAGTCATTAAAACTGTTGGAAACGTTGTCATCTTGCAGAAAATGGAGGGAGGAGACATATCACGATTCCATTTTATAGAGAAGCAATTGCTCAACTGTCGTTCGACAAATGTCGACAGATCTGCTTAAGATTTTCGGGATTAGAGAGGTTGGTGACGATGAGGCCGGGGTGGGTGGGCGGGGAGTTTGTGATTTGGGGTTTAAGTTTAGGATTTATGATATAATTTTTGAGTTTGGAGTTTGAGTATAAGATTTAAGGTTTTTAACTTAATTAATTTTTATTATAATCTTATATAATATAAATATTAATAAAATAATAATAATAAATGTAAAGTTATAGAAAATATTAATAAAATAAGTTTAAGCGACTAAAATATGAACAATTATAAAGTTTAGTAAGTAAATTGAAAATATCTAAAATTTAGTTACTACAATACAAGTGAAAAGATAATTGAATGATGAATTTTATAATTTACCCATATTAAAAGTAAAAAGAATAGACCTAATTCTTTTCTATCTCTGATGGTCATCACCTCGGGCTGGAGGGGAACTCTTTTTCCTCTAAAACACCTTTCTGTCGGTGTTGTCGATTAGAAGGAATTTTTAGGAAGAGAACGAGAAGGAGAGGGGGAAGAAGTTTTATTTTCTTTATGGATAAGAGATGCAGAGGCTGCGGTATTGGAATGGCGTCGGAGATGGACTTGAACATCAACATGTACATTAACATGGTGCTTTACAAACTCAACTTCCTGCTGCCTTCTGATTTTGCTTTCGAACGATTCACGCCTTGGTTTCGCTTATTCAATCTCCCGTAACCCTAGTTCTTATTTCGTTTCTTATTTAGAGTTGAGGTATTTAGTATTCGGTCTTCCTGAATTACTTTATATTTAAATTATTTTAGTTTTCAGGTTTCCATTTTTTTCAATTGATTTTGATTCAAGCCTAGAAGCATTATAACCTTTATAAGATCGTTGCTTGTGCTTTCTGTTTGTACCTTGATTCCAAGTAATACTAATTATCAGGGATTACTTGTGGTCTGCTGTTTTGGATTTTGCTTGTGCTCGAATTTAAGATTTTTTAAAATACTGCCTTATTTTTCAGCAAAAGTATTTGCTTTATTACAGGATGGTTATATATATATATAATATATGAACAAAGTACCATAGATTAGCTGGAACCATTTAAGAATATCTCGAACCATAAACCATTGATTCTGTTCAATTTTTTGTTTCCTTTACAAAGTGTTTTGGCATTGCTTGTCAAAATAACTGTTGATAGGATGAGTGGTCTAGATTTTTCTAGTTATGCAGACTACTTTAGGGCAGTTGCTTAGTGCTCAATAGGCTGGTTGTTATCTTTTCAGTTTGAATGAACAGTAAACTGTATCTTTGTTCAGGTCACTCTAAGAATTGTTTCCCTCCGTGGTGTCAAGTGTTGCAAACAGAAGAGGAGGGAAGGAACTTGTATTCAAAATCAGCAACTAATAATTGATCAAAAACGAATCTTCCCATCAGCTCCCCTTTTAAAAAGATGTCTTCTACACAAGGTAAGGGCAAACCATCAGGTTGGACTGCCTTTGATCTTAAGCAGCGGCAGAAAGAAACTGAAAATGACCCTTTCCCTCCTATAGCAATTAGTTTGGCAGCTCTCAATCCCTGCACAAACCAAACAAATCACAATGATCTTTCTGCAAAGTCTTTCTCATCTGTGCTGAAGCCTTCTGGCAATTTTCCAGCTTTGAAACAGAATAAGGATTCCATAAAATCAACAAACATGGGTCTGTGCACTAAAGTTATAAGCCAAAACTTCCTCCGCATGTAAAGTAATAATTAATAAATATTTAATTAGATGTATTTTTATGAATTACACGGGGAACGTATATTTCAAATATTTTTTTATATAGTCTGTTTTTCTATTTTTTTTATTACATTGAACGTTCACATTCTTAATATTCTTGGTGTTCGAATACAAAACTTCATTACTGTTTGGGCATGAACTTAAGGTCTGGGCCTTAATAAGGGTTCAACAAATCAAGATCAACCCACAATCCTAAATTCGGTTACCCTTTCCACCCCTAATCTCTAACGAGAGTTTAACCCAAACAGACCCGGCAAAGTTCTTCCTGTCCAAATTTTGTCGCTCATATCCCTAACAACCTTATCCCCAAAACCTTCAACCCCAACAATTTTATCTAACCCCAAAATCAACACACACACAAAACTAGTAAAAAAGAGGAAGAAAAAATTCCATTGATTGAAACTTTATTTATTTTTTTTAATTTTGAATAGAATCTAGAATTCATTAGATGTCAATAGTATCAAGAATTACTTCATTTTTTATACATTCCGGTTTATCATGAAAGAATCATACATGATTGTTCCTCGACAAAATCCAATGAGTCAAAGTGTGCATCACCCGATTTTCCTCGTGGTTGACATAATGTACATTGATGTTCGATACCCCAACAAGAGAAGAGCTTGCCTCGTTGAGCAGTAATCTAACAACACATTTGAAACTTACAGAAGAAAATAATCTGAGTAGAAAGAAAAAGAAAAATTAAGATTTGTCTTTTTAGTCGAAGCCATCCAAAATGATTGAGGACTTTGTTCTTGGACCTGAAAGATGAAAAGTGAGGGAACGATGAGAGGAGCAATATGTTGGAAGGGCAGCTCGATCCGGTTAGATAAGGAGATCATTGAGGTATATTTTTTGGACTCTTGTGGTTTATTTTTTAAAAATCCGATCTTGGGTTTGGGTTCGAGGTGAGAAAAGAGTTCAAATTGATATTTTGATGATTTTGCTTGTTGTTAATGATAAATGACGGTGACATGATGACACAAGCTACAATAAAAAAAGTGATTGTAATGGTTGTTATTTGTAGAGATTTCAGGTTTGAGCATGTTATATAAATGGTGTTAGAGCGTTAATTGTCAAATAAATAAGAGTCTTTCAAACATATACTACATTGTAATCAATATAAACTAATAAAAAATCCTTAAATGAAGTCATTTTTGACAGATTCAACCTAGTTGATCCGACCTAACCAGGACCTACATCCTTATATTGTTTTTATTAATTAATGACATTTTATCTTTTTAATTTTGATTTTTTTTAATTTACTCTTCTACATTTATTTATTTATTTTCTAACATTATTTATTTTTACTCTTATTATTTATCTATTGTTAATATTTTTTTAGTATCATTTATTCAAAAAATATCCGTATGAATTTTTTTCTTAAATATTTTTTAGACTATTATTTTATTATCATAAGTAAAGGAGTAGTGTCCAAGTAATTGGATTGCAACCTTTATATTTATTTGTAACAAAAGAACATCCTTCTTAAAATGATGTGATTTTTAAAAAGAAAAATGAAGATGTTAAAGGTAACTCCATTTTAAAAGCTTATACAATTTTGTCAAGAAAAATATTTTGTCTAATATGGATTTGTTTTAGAAGTCAAGCCACGAGTTTTAAAAATGTATGAAAGCATATTAAAGTCAAGCAATATGGGAATGAGACCCTGTTAGAAAGAAAAGATTCTTAGTTCAAATATCAGTGAATACTTTCTTGGGTGTATATGATATTTGTTTCATAACCTTGAACCATGACCTACATTATATATCTTTAAAAGGTTTAATTTAATCATATATAAATACTTGAGTTGGAGAGTTCATCTTTAGATTTCATTTAACTATCTAGGATTAACAATTTGGTTACAAATTTTTTAAATTCTTTTGATGTATGATTGTGAGCACCATTTTTTTATTCAAACCTCATGCTTCTTACACATCATTTTTATAAATGCCCCATCTTTTGCCCATTGCTTCCCCCACGTGAAGACAACCTTTTGCCACCCATACTCCCACTCATATGCAAATAACACCTAAATTAGCCATCCACTACAAATCCACTAAACCAAATCAAACCTACTCCACCGAAAATCCATTAAAAAAATCCCACATACTCGATGCCAGATCATTCAGCAACAAAGAAGAAGGCATAAAGAGGGGGCATTCAAAAACGAGGGGGAAAAAAGGAATACAGAGGGGAGATGGGTCATTCAAAAATCATCAAAAATAAAGGAAAACATTTTGTAAGAGGACTTCTAGTGAAAAGAGGGAGGTTCTGTTTCTGATTCGAACAAATATCAATGTAATCTTGTAGGTTTATTTGAAATTTCTACTTTCATTTTTCTTTCATGTTTATTTGCGTGTGCTTGTAATATTTTGAAACTGAAAAATAAATAGAAAGGGAGCCGAGGGTCTCGAGGTCTAAGAGTCTTTCATGGTGGCTTAAGAATCGTTTTAGAGGTTAGACGAGAGAAAGGATAAGCCAGGGTTGTGAAGCGAGGGATCGGTTTTGAGCGGCGTGAGGGATGTCTCGAAGGTCTCGGTTTGAAGGCTAGCAAGGCGAGGCGAGAGTTCACTTGAGTTCTTCCAAAGTTTAGATGCAAATTGAATAACTCACTCTTTTTGTAGTAGAACAACGAAATCACATAAAGTTTTATTTGAGCACCAGAACTTGAGCTACTCTTGACCGCATTATATCCCATTGACCTGTTGTGAGTAGAGAGATTGGAGAGGGGCAAAGCTGTTGTGTGTGTTGTTCTGCGTGATTTACTTAGGTTTAGTGTAGCTTTTATATTAAATAGTTTGGGTTAATTAATTTTTGGCCACCAAGATTTTAGGGTAATTTGCTCTTGTACCCCTTAGCTTTAACCGCGTATTTTTAGTTTAGTCACCTGTATGATCATTTTCAATTTTTTTTATTTGTCCTATTGTCTTTAATTTTCAGTTTTGTTTTTTCTGTTTTATTCTTTTGGATTAATTCTTTTCATACCCTTATTAGTTAAGCACATTTTTATTTTAATCCCTGTTCTAATTATTAAGATTGAACGTTTAATTATACCTCATTTCGTTTTAGCTCATTTGGTTTATTAGTAGTAGATTTAATTTTATAATGACATTTATATATATAGCATGTACATATTATATTATTAAATGTTATTTTCAACTTTAAGTAAATAATATTAATAGAATATTTATGATTGTTAATTGATATAGCATAAAAGATAATCTTTTCTTTATTAAACCCACTAAACATATTTTATAAATCATCCACTAAATTGCCAAAAGTTTAGGTGATCCACGTTTTGGAGTCAAGTGGGGTTAGGTTCATGCATAAATAGACCACATTATTCTAGTGGAGGTTCACATGTTTTTAGGGTGAATGGGTTATTCTATGTAAGAAATATTGTTTATGCTTATTAAGTTAATATATATTTATGCTTGTTGTACAAATGGTGGCTTTTTATGTCTTGTATTCATGTGCGTGCTATATATATATGTATGTGTTGGCATATAAATGGTTATTTTGCATCTCATGAACCCATGCATAATGAATAGTTATATATATATATATATATATGTATGCACCATGCGTGTATCTCATAGTAAATAATAGTCTTTCTATCAAATGGTTTTCTGTCTTTTAATTTCATCAATTAATTTAATGTGTAAAGTCATATGAGATTGTTAAAATACTGATATAATTGCATGTGTTTTTCGTTCGATCTGCATGATACCCTCACGTGCATAACTTGATATCGTTATATAATTGGATTAAGGGTAATATCCTTTTAATTTAAAATTGTTTTAAGTTGGTTGTCTTAACGTATTAGATATCCGCTTTTGATGATTTTAAATTAGAAGTATATCCCATTAGTAACACTTAAAAATTGATTCATCACTTTAAAATTTGGGAATGGAAGAAAAAGAAATGTTCGGCTATTTAAATTTGTCGAGAAAAGGTTGGTATACCTCATCTAAGATATGATCTCGATATTTTTAAATAATCGAATATTCTTTATCTTTCTAAAAACTCAGTAATTTTAATTTAATCTATTTGGGTGTTTTTGAATATTGTAAAATTCATATTTGTTGTTTTATGGGATCAAAAGTCAAATTAAGTTTGAATTTGTAAAGTTTATTGCAAAGACAATTAATTAATCGACTACGTACCGATTTAGGGCGTTGTGGGTGTGCTAATCCTTCCCCACACGTAACCGACTCCCGAACTCAAATTTTGGTAATGTAGACCCCAAGTTTGTCTTTTTAATTAAAATTAATATTTTATTAAAATGGAAAATATGTTTTTTTGGTGCTCAATCACACCCTAATCAAAGATTGGTGGTGACTCTTTGAATCGTGTTTTTTATTTGTAAAGGAAATCCCAAATTTCTTGAAACGAGAGTTTTTTTTAAATCACATTCACTTTTAATTTAAATTTAATTTGAAGATAATAATTGAATAACTCACTCTTTTTGTAGTGGAACAACGAACGCACATAAAGTTTTATTTAAGCACCAGAACTTGAGCTACTCTTCACCGCATTATATCCCATTGACCGGTTGTGAGTAGAGAGATTGGAGAGGGGCAAAGCTGCTGTGTGTGTTGTTCTGCGTGATTTACTTAGGTTTAGGTTTAGTGT